AAGGCCCTGAGCGCCGGCAACATAGATGACGTGCTACAGTGCTACTCCGAAGCCATCAAGTTAGATCCCCAGAATCACGTGCTCTACAGCAATCGGTCTGCGGCCTACGCCAAGAAAGGAGACTACCAGAAGGCTTATGAGGGCGGCTGCAAAACTGTGGACTTGAAGCCTGACTGGGGTAAGGGCTATTCTCAAAAAGCAGCTGCCCTGGAGTTCTTAAATCGCTTTGAGGAGGCCAAGGGAACCTATGAGGAGGGTTTGAAATATGAAGCAAATAACCTTCAGCTCAAGAAGGGTTTACAGAATATGGAGGCCCGTCTAGCAGAGAGGAAATTCATGAACCCTTTCAACATGCCCAACCTGTACCAGAAACTAAAGGATGATCCTCGGACAAGGGCACTTTCTTGGACCCTTGGTTGCCTTGATCATCTGCTACAACTGGCTCCATCGAAGACTAGCAGGTGGAGTGGTGGTACAGGAAGCAGGACTAAGTCAGCCATGAAAGGGGAAGGAAGAGGGTGGAATCAGGGTTGAAGATTCAGGGCTGAGATTTCGCTCCTCCTCTGCCCACACTGCTCAGCGATCCTTCCTACCGGGACCTGATCGAGCAACTCCGAAACAAGCCTTCTGACCTTGGCACGAAACTACAAGATCCACGGATCATGACCACGCTCAGTGTCCTCCTCAGAGTCGACCTGGGCAGTATGGATGAAGAGGAAGAAGTTGCAACACCTCCTCCACCCCCTCCTCCTAAAAAGGAAACCAAACCAGAGCTGATGGAAGATCTTCCAGATAATAAGAAGCAGCCCTTGAAAGAAAAAGAGCTGGGGAACGGTGCCTATAAGAACGACTTTGACGCGTCCCTGAAGCATTACAACAGAGCCAAGGACTTGGACCCCACCAACATGACTTACATTACCAATCAAGCAGCGGTGTACTTCGAAAAGGGCGACTACAACAAATGCTGGGAGCTCTGTGAGATGCCATGTAAGTGGGGAGAGAAAACTGAGAAGATTATGGACAGATTGCCAAAGCATATGCAGGAATTGGCAACTCCTA